TCTTTAAACATTGTGATGCTTTTCAACAGCTTAAACTTATAACAACTTGCATTTATATCGCGCCCTTCATGAAGGATAGAATCTGGGAGGGTTCACAAAACGGGGCTGGACACTGAGCAAGGGAGGAGGGGGGAGTGGGAGGTGACCTTAGACAGTTAGAGGGGCGAGACAGAGGGGTAGAGGGAGGGAGTTCCAATGGTTAGGGATATAGTTGCTGACTAATGCAAGTGTAGGTTCACGTTCTGAGATTCCAGCAGCAGGAATATCAAAACTTCTCAACTGAACCTCTCGGTGGAATCCATTAGGGTGGTTTGGCATTCAGTCTTGTGGAGGGAAGGGGAGAATAGACTAGACTCCAGTCACCAGAGTGTCCATCTTCTCCCTCTAGCTACAGAAATGCTTCTTGCAAGAGGAGAGAACTAGGGGACAAACACTTGGGGGAGAAGAACTTATTAGAGACAGACAGAGTAGATTCAGAAAGAAGCTCATATTTAACCAACTTGGCAATAGTTTGTTTGGACTATGTTACAAATACAGTGGACAAGTGTAATTGCTCCCTCGGACACCAAGAGTGCACTGGATATCAAGCTGGTCTGCCATTCTAGAGCATCTTTTTAAGGAACCAGCACTGTAATTATATACGTAAATGGTTACACTTAAGACTGAACCCTGACTGGTGGAAACCGACAAGGCAAACATCCATCAAAGAAGAAGCTGAGTCATGTTAGCAAAAGCAGTAATAAATAATTAGAAGGCCAATTTAAATTAGCTGTATTAAATGGGATAGTACAGAATAATGAAGTACAGGATAATTCCTCCCAATGTTGGCAAATGGCTCAAAAATTCTAATGATATACCGCTAATGAAATGTGCATCAACTCCAAGCACAAAACAATACAAAACTTCTTTGTCTTCTACATCACCATACATTTTACAACCCATTCTTGGTCTCAACAGGCCCTAAAATCTTGCCAGCATATCAGTTAGGTTTCTTCGATGATGACTATAAAAACAGCTTAACTGTGCAGCATAACCTGATAAAGAAACACACACTAAACACACACACCAGAGCAAAGTGCATGCACAGATTGTTGTTGACATTCTTTGTAGTTTAACATGCACAGAACTTGGGCTCCATCCCAACATGTCACTTCTACCTACCTGGACATCCCCAAAGATGCCGATGAACTGCAATTTAAAAATCAAACAAAAATTGTTAAAACTACCGTGGAATTATTCTGCAACCGCACTGAGCATAGCATCAAGTGTCTTGTTCAATAGTCTGCCGCCCGCATTCTCACCCACATGAAACTCCACTCCCTGATTACCCCAGTCCTTGACAGACTGCACTGGCTGCCTATCCCAGAGGATCGATTTCAAGATCCTCACCCTTGTATTCAAGTCCTGCACTCCTCTGCACCCCCTCACCTTTCTGACCTCCTCTCTCCTCAAAACAGTACCCTTTGCCTTTGTTTCTCTGGGTCTGGCCTCCTCCTCGTCCCCCGAGTCCTCCGCTCCACCCTCGGCGGCCGTGCCTTCAGCAACTATATGCCCCGAGGTTCTGGTACTGCCTTCCTCACTCCCTTTGTCTCGCTCCCTCCCTTCCTATTTTCAGGTCTCTGCTGAAGACCTTTCTTTTCGACCGTGCCTTTGGTCATCTTCCCACCCCTGCCTCGGCCCCGGGATCCGTTACTGTGAAGTGCTCTGAGACGCTGTCCGGCGTGGAGGGCGCTATATAAATCCAGGTTGTTGTTGTTGTAGTCTCTTACACAAAGTTACAGCACATGAGTTCCATAGCCAGTCAATCAAACATTATCAGTTCTGACAGGTTTCAGAAACCCACTCTTGTCAGTTGATGTCAATAAAATTGAACCAATTCATAAAGAAAATCCTCGGCAGGGAGTGAAAAGAGAAAGTTATTTTTCTAGAGCTGAATTGGAAGCCAAGAAAGTCTGCAGTAATCCAACAAGTCTGACTGTCTTATGAATGAGACCTGGAAGTGTGTATACATGTCATCAAACCTACAAGTCAAAGACCTAATCCGTAAGACAGTTCAAAATAGACAATTACAGTGAAACTTATTAAAGCTTCATACTCGAGGGTCTTCTGGTTCAATTCTCACTCACCCAGCAGTCACATTAGTAGGCAGTAATCCTATTATTGGCTGCTACATTTACCTACAAAATACACAGTCACTACAAATCCTGTGAGATATTCTCCCAATGTAAAAGGTGCTATATGAAAAATGCAAGGATTATTATTATTAGTTATTTATTAGCACCAAAACACTCATCGCTTCTATTGACTAGAAGGTCGACCAAAACAATACAATGGATAATATACTAATCCTTGCATTTAATATAGTGCCTTTCACATCATCAAGACATCTAAAAGCAGTATTAAATGTAGTATTTTGTAGGCGAACATGGCAGACAATTTGCGCATAGCGATGTCCTGCAAAAAGCCATGGAGTGAGTGACCAATTTTAGTTGGGGGATTGTTAGCCAGGACAGGCGCTTGTGATATGTGGCAAAGTGAAGAACAGATTAACTTAGTTTTGGGAGGAAAAAGTCCTAAATTGCTTGGCTGGTAATTTACTCCATCAGGAAGTTGTACTGAGTAGCTCAAAGCGCTTCACAGAATATACTATAAAGTGAATTGACTATATCTTGTGGGTGACAAGCGGCAGCCAATTACACACAGCAGTGTCCCATGAACAGTCGTAGATTGGGTGACCAAATTATTTATTTAGTTAGTTTTTAAAGGGATTATCATCCCCTGAAAGTGATACGCCAATCATCTAACAACCAGGTTCCTATTTACAGCTAGATAAACAGAGGCGTATGGAGTAAGGAAACTTCCCATGGTTTCGCCCTGCCCAGGAATCGTACCAGGGTCCTCTTGCTTGCGAAGCAAGTACTCTAACCACCACTCTACAGGACTCTAATGGATGGAGGTGTCCTTTAAGTGCACAGCAAATGCATTCTTTCAGCCTGCTCCAACCACAATGAATGTGGAAACAGCCAGAGAAGGGCTGAGGGAGCATTTCTTTAAAGGGTAGCAAGCAGGCACTGTAATACTGCCGTCCTGTTCTAATAAGAAACAACATATTAGTACCGTTCTTGAAGAAAGCTGGTCATTTGGGATTTTAGCTACAAAGTGCCTTATTGTACTAAGAACCCACATAAGCCGTGCCGTATTTTAAATATCTTCCTATTGTTAATCGGATGCAGGCAGTCACATGGCACACTGAAAGAGATCTCATTGACAAAATATTCCACTATTAGGACTTTCAGACAGTGAAGTCTGTTTGAAATGGCAAGTAGAGGCCACGTGGGAGAGGTTGGTGTACAATTACAGTGCAAGTTTGAATCAAGTCAAAGCAGAGGTCAAGTTATTCGTATCAGTGATGTAAACCTCATTGGCTCTCATGTACAGCGATTATAAATGGATGATGTATTACAGCTTTCATCACAGTGTGATAAGAACAAACAATACCTCATCACAGATCCTCAGTGCCTATCTATATCAAGTATTTGACTAATTCAGCAAATAGAAAACACACACTGTGATCGGCCAGAGCCACACAATGAGTACAAATGGCTAGCTGGTGTCACACCAGTGTCTTCTCAGACAGAATGGGCAGCACACAGGGCTTGTAAATAGAAGCAGTATTAAAAGATCTTCAACGATCTTCAAGTTCAGTGTTAATCTACAGACAAATGCCATCTCCATTCTGTATTTGCACAACAAAATATTTCTGCTGCACTCTGCCTATCCAAAGAAAATTCCCAAAACCACATTAACGTGGTACATTTAACCAATGCACAGTATTTGAAAGCAAGTCCTCCAGACTTTGACATGTACAGCCTTATAACATGGTCATTGAAAAATTCCAACCTATGTTATAATGGGGCACAAATGTTGGTCTAATTTTCTCTTTCAGATACTACCAACCAGCTTCGAATCACCTTGTCTTGCTTCAAACACTGGCTGGCTTCTCATGGCTAAAGAAATGGCCAATGTCTGGGTCATCAGGGCGCACCCACAACATTGCTTCCTGCACACCACACATGTACGAAGCATTATATAATAATAATAATTCTTGCGTTTAATATAGTGCCTATATTCGTGGAGTCCTGTAGCTCAGTGGTTAGAGCACTCACTTTGCAAGCGAGAGACCTGAGTTCAATTCCAGGCACAGGGCGAAACCTTGGGCAAGTTTCCTTACTCCACACGCCTAATAATAATCCCTCCAAAATCAATAACAATAATAAATTGGTCATTTTCAATCTACGACTGTTTGTGGGACATTGCTGTGCGCAATTGGCTGCCGCGTTCGCCCACAAATATACAGTCAATTCACTTTACAGTGTGTTCTGTGAAGCACTTTGGGACGTCCTCCCGACGTGAAAAGCGCTATATCAAATGCAAGGATTATTATTATTATTATTATATTATTGAGACGTCTTCGCGATGTCTTAAAGCGCTTCACGGAATATTCTGTAAAGTAAATTGACTGTATAATTTGTGGGTGTAGCGTGGCAGCCAATTGCCATATAGTGTTTCACAAACAGTTGTGGATTGAGTGACCAAATTATCATTATTATTCATTTAATTAATTTTTTGGAAGAGATTATTGCCCCCGGAAAAGGAATCCACCAATCGACTAGCAACCAGGTTCCTACTTCCTGCTAGGTAAACAGAGGCGTGTGGAGTAAGGAAACTTGCCCAACGTTTCGATCTGCCCGGGAATCGAACCAAGGTCCTCTCGCTTTCGAGGTTGGGATTTTATGGACAGGCCCAGCAAGCAGGCCTTGCTACACTGTCCAAGTCACAAGACTGCGAGATGTTAATCTGAAATCTGAGCTCACAACCATCTGCTGCCCCAAACACAGTGAATTGCGGGCAATTGGATGGATTTCAGCCCAGTTCCTATGAAAGGCTAATGTATTTACAATTAGAATTATACGGTTGCTACTGTGGTAAGCTGGTCTTACCTCGGCTTTTAGCAGCTTCCTTCAGTGTAGACAAGACAGATGGCTTCAGATCCTCAGCCACAAACCTTCCATCCAGTCCTGGGAAAAGGGATCTATTGTAAAAGTCAAAGCTTAGCTTCATGTCTGAGCGAGTGGCTCATACAGGTATGCAATCACACCTCAATAGCTCAGAGTACTGTAGATCTCACCAGCATATGAAAGTATTTCAGATCAATGAATGGAGTGCAGAATCAGGAATAACTTGAGCAGACTATATTTGGCTTCCATTTCAGACATAAACCAATGCTGAATTTCTACACTTTACTCAGTAGCAGTGTGCTGCGATATTGGCTGTTACATGCATTAAACATGTCTGAAAGTATCCCGACTCTGTTGCTGCTTGTTGCAAAGCAGCACTGATTGTACAGTACTGAAGGAGCCTTCTACTCTTCCGTGGTCAGTAAGTCTGCGAGCCTGCGATCCCTGTGAAAGTGACACATGCGCAATGTGCATCTCACTTTAATTTCATCCTAGGTGCTTTTGAAACAAAAGACATTAAAAGGTTTAAATTACCATAAAAGATAACTTTCATTTCCCCTCACAGGGCTAAAATATTTGTATCCATTAGCCTTGAGTGAATGTGGCCCCATTAAGGCAGTAGAATAGATGATGTTCTTTATTGCCATTGTTGAGAGCTCAGACATGAAAGCATTGAATAATGTTCACAATTGGTAATGCCTTATGGTTCAACTGCCGTGAGCGCTTCACTTGGGTCAGTAAATGGGAGACGTTTAATACATTGAGGGAGCAATAGAACCATGTGTGCTGAAGAAAACCATCAGAAACTGAAGCTTTACCTGGGGTGATCGTGCGTGTTGATGTAAACAATATCCTTGTCTGCTGTGGAGGAGTCAAAGGATATGAAGTTCCCATTCTGCAGCGGAAGGAGCTCGAGCCCAATCAACTCCCCGAAGTTCTGATCACTCAGCACATACTCCAGCAGGTGAAGCTTTTCCTCCGCGCTTTCTCGGTGCCTGAATTTCTTAATAACCTGCCGTACCACAGCAGGGGTCACCTTCTTTATGGGCTTCGTCTCGGAGCCGTAGGCTTGCACGGCACTAGAGACATTGGCAGGTACTTGACCAATCTGCATTCCTGACCTATTGAGGAAGTTGAGCACAGCCTTGGTGTAATCTTTGCCCTCATCCATTTCACAGAAGTAAACGGAGTCCACCTTCAGCCAGCGGTCACCCATGGAATAGATGACTGGGTTCTGAATCAGCTCCTTAAAGAGAGGCTCCAAAATAGGCTTCCAATGCACTCTGACCTTGCTAGCATCAGGCCAGACTCTGTAGATGGCCTCAGGAGTCAACGGGATGTCCTGTCCCTGTTCAGCCTGCATTCGCTTCACAGCTTCCAGGACAAGTGTGGAGTAGGTTTTTGGAACAACGTTGGTAATGAGGAGTTCATTCCACAGAGCGGCTGGGTCTCTCCATTGGTCCACTTCCCTCCACTTTATGCTCCTTCGGTTATCGGTTAGCCCAAAGAAGCCGCTGATGTGCACTGGCAGGCCAGTCTTGCTTTCTTCACCAGGAGGTAGAGGTAAAAAGCAGAATGCTCTGCCCGTGAACTCAGACACAGCTCCTTTCTCCTCGTCACTGCCCAGGAGAGGCATGGCAATGCCAATGCTGGGAATGTACTTTAGGTCCTCAGCCAAACAGTCCAGTTCGTTGCACATCCCCCGGCCTCCCACACTGTTGCAAACCAACCAAGACATCTCGTCAGTCTCTTTTGACGCCGCATCCTCAGCAGCTATGTTCACATGGTATGTCACGCAGGTCACACTGTTGTTAGGAATATTTCTACAGTAACGATCGGCAGCCGTTCTTAGGATCTTCAAGGAGTTTGGGCGTTCATGCTTCAGCTCTTTACCCTCCGAGGCGATCACCCTGAATAGCATTTTCTCGCTGCCATTGGATTCCCGGGTGTAAAGTGACACACTCTGTACGTTCTTCAGGAAAAGCAGAAGGGAACTGGCATCTGCTTTGAAGGACTCAAACAACTCAAGGACTTTGTCTTTGCTGTACAGGTTGCTGCTCAGATGGGACGGCTTCTTCCGTAGAGGGAACCTGAATATTGTGCCAGGGAAGTAGCCATCTTTGAAGGTCTCTTTGGTGCTTTCAAAGATCCCGATGTACGGTGCAAATTGGTCTGGGTACTCATGGATCTCTTCTTGCTCTGTCTTCAGGTTCCAACACTGACCAGATTCCTGGGTGCCAAAGAGTGACTGATGAGGATCCAGTATTCCAATCTGATCCCCACTGAATATGCATGGAACATCTGTATCAAAAAAAGTTACATTCTTCAATCCATCTTAGTAAACAAATACATTTCATCTACTGAATTTAATACCTACTCAGCTTCAAGAAGACCCAACTTACCTCCCCCTCCCCACCTCCAGCCAATTACAAAGCGAAGAGAGAAAGGACAGGATTGAAGCAAAATGTTGAGAACTGCTGAGATCGTAATGAACTGGTTCTATTTTGTGGATACATTTGAAGTGATATTTGTACTTTGAGATCTGAACTAGAGAAATGGGACATTGTCTTCAGGATAGAAGGGTACAAAAATGTGGAGGAAACGGGAAAAGGAGGAAGTCCCTTTTATCTCCATCCCCTACCTCACCCCCCTGAGGATACAAACAAACAAACAAAAATTAGATTTGTATAGCGCCTTTCAAGTCGGGAGGACGTCCCAAAAATTATAAGACTCTTAGATTTTCCTCTCCAGAAGACAATGCCTCTTTGCCTGAATAACAAGTCCGTAGGCACCGGTTGCCCTCTGCCTACTTGCCTAAGTGTCCCCTCTTCACATTGGATCAAATTACAATGGGCTGAAGCCAAGAACACTGATTTCCCAATGCCTGAAACACGGCTGAGGATCACCAATCAACTGAAACTCCAAAGTTCAGGACTGAAGCTGGTTTTGGACAAATCTGAAACGGACACTGTATCCTCATCCCTACCAGCTTATTGGAGGGAGATAGAAGTACATTCCATTCTGCTTACTAATGTGCCAGGTTTTGTCCATTCATGACCCTCTACGCTTAGAACAGAATAAAAGGGAATTTAAAACATAAATTAAAATCAAAAAGAACACAAAATAGGGAAAAGAAAATAGAAGAAGACAGTGAATCCAAGTGAGAATTTTACTCTAAATTATTTTTTTTTCTAATATTTAAGTGAGTGAGGGTTATAATAAAGCTACAGAGGAACCCCATTACAACTCAGTGTCTGGAATCAGAAATATTAAGCCGGCATTTTAACGGGACGGCAAAGTAAATGGCCGCTGGTCCCAAGGTTGTCAGGTTGCTGTTGACGGCACTTCCTTCTTTCCTTCCAGTGCAGGACAACACACTCTTTACTCACCAGTCACGTGATAAACAGAATTGAACCCAATTCCAAATCGACCAACTTTCAGGGGATCATCTCTTTTTCTGCTTCTTGCTATTTCCTGAATTCCATTCCAGTCCTCTGAGGTGAATACTGCATTGTTGTACGAATACAGAGCTGGCCCTGAAGAAATCGCGGATACTTTACTTAACAGCAATTAACAACAAATTAACAAGTTACATTTGTATAGCGTCTTTCACGTCAGGAGGATGTCCCAATTCACACAGATTCTCTCCTTTCTGTGAAGGGAAGAGAAAGAATAGGCCTATATCCAACACACACATTAAATTGCAATCGCTAATTTTTAGTGACGTTGTTTCTTGTTGAGTGCAGGACAGGGTTCTGCAAATGAGAGGACCTGGGTTGAATTCTCAGGTAGGGCAAAACCTTAGGCAAGTTTCCTCACTCCACACACCTCTGATTACCTTGCAGAAAGTAGGAACCCAGTTGTTAGTAGATTGGTGGATCACTTTCTGCGGATAATAATCTCTTCAAAAAAACTACACAAAAGACACCAGAAGTAATGCTTGTGGGACACCGCTGTGCACAATTAGCTGCCGTGTTTTGCCCACAGTTACTACACTTTACAGTAAAAACCTGTGATGCACTTTGAGGCATCATCCCGATGTTAAAAGTGCTATATCAAACGCAAGAATTATTATTATTGGGCTCAAAGTCAAGCAAGTAAAAAAGAAGCAAATACAATGAGAAGAGCAAGATCAAGGGTAAAAAGGGTTGAGAACAGCTGAGATCACACGTTCTATTTAGTGGATACAGTTGAAATGATGTTTGTATTTTGAGATCTGAACTAGAAAAATTAATTGTTTATCTCAATAGAAAGTGATAGAAAAATGTGGAGGAGGGGGTGAGGGGTAAGAAGTCAAAAAATACTCTAAGCCGTGTATTTTTCTGATCCATTTTCCTGGCTGTACGGCCAGTTAGCACTTTTAGCCATAATGGAAAGTCAAGGTAACAGACAAGATGAAGTAATGGATTTTAAAAGCCTTCATTACAAGGATCGCTTTCACAGCAGAACATTTCCCATTCCTTCTATTTTCAATTATAAATTCACACAGAATCATTGACCCTTTGACTACTGAACATCCATTGAGGTTTCCTGACTTCTGCAGAATTAAAGTAGAAGGTGAAGCTTCCCCTTTATTTCTGCAGATGTCACACGCTCTCTTTGCACAGGCTTATAATGTGGAGTCTTGTAGCTCAGTGGTTGGAGCACTCGCCTTGCAAGCAAGAGACCTGCAGGGCGAAACCTTGGGCAAGTTTCCTTTCTCCACACACCTGATAATAATCCCTCAAGAAGCAACAAAAACAATAATAAAATTGGTCAATTCAATCCACGACTGTTTGTGGGACATTGCTGTGAGCAATTGGCTGCCACGTTTTGCCCACAAATATACAGTCAATTCACTTTACAGTATATTCTGTGAAGCGCTTTGAGACATCTCAACAATGTGATATGGTGGTATATCAAATGCAAGAATTATTATTATTAGAATAATGTTGATTGTCCTTGCATTTGATATAGCGCTTTTCACATCAAAGCACTTCACAGAATATACTGTAAAGCGAATTGACTGTATATTTTGTGGGCAAAACACAGCAGCCAATTGCACACAGCAGTGTCCCACAAACAGTCGTGGATTGAGTGACCAAATTATTTTTTTTAAGGGATTATTATCCCCAGAAAGCAATCCACCAATTGCCTAACAACCAGGTTCTTTCTTACTGCTAGGTAAACAGAGGCAAGCGGAGTAAGGAAACTTACCTAAGGTTTTGCCCTGCCCGGGAATCAAATCCAGGTCCTCTCGCTTGTGAGGCAAGTGCTCTCTATGCAACAGTAATCTACAATAAGAGGTTGAGACCCTATCACATGACACATCAATAACAGAGCTTCTTAGGCACAAGCCTCGGTAGAGCCAGTAATAGAGTCAAGGCATTGGCCTGATAACAGATCGTTTGAGGGTCCCTCTTAATCATTAAAGGAGAAAAACAAAACAAATTGAGGTGGGGGTGGGGGGAGAAGGGTAATGGGGAGCCAATTGATATATTGTTCTATTAACTAAGTGTTCTGCAAATGCTTCACCTGGTCTCGCACGATCATCTCAGAAGCAGGAGTCAGTTGTCCTCTAATACTCGATATAGCAAAACCGTTACAAAAGTTGTTTAAAACAATTGCAACTATCGCATGAAACAACCTGAAAGACTCCGCCATCCGACATATGCTACACAACTGATTGCAGGAATAAGGGAATCGGATGGGGAATCAAGCTCACCAATAAGTCTTCTTCAACAACAGCAACAAGTTACATTTGCATAGTGCCTTTCAAGTCAGGAAGGTGTCCCAAGGCGCTGGACAGTCAGGGATCTGCTCCCGAGCTGGTGGTTGGGATCAGGAGGGGTGGAGGGCGGGGAGGGTAGGGGTAGAAGAGTGACCGAAGGCACGGTCGAAGAAGAGGTATGATCTGAAGACGAACAAGGAGGGGGCAAGGTGGAGAGATTGAGGTAGGAAGTTCCAGAGTTTCGGGGGCGTAGTGGCTGAAAATATGAGGCAAATTCGGCAACAATGCTGGGGATGTCAGGGAGCAGTCCTTCGATGAGATGTAAAACCGCGGTCCAGACAGAGCAGCCAAGACATAGGCTTGAGAACCAAACACTTGCTTGTTCAGGTGAATGTTAAAGGTCCCGTGGCACTATTTAAAAAGAGAAGGGAGTTTCTCCTGAGGTTCTCAACCACAAACCTCCAAATAAAATTGGTTATTCTCTTTATGGCTGTTTGGGGGTCATTGCTGTGCATAGACTGTTACCATGTGCGACGTAATTCCAAAGGGTAGGGGCAGAGAGGCTGAAGGCCCGACCGCCGATGGTGGGGCAGGCCAGGCGGGGCACATGGAGCAGGCCAGAGCACACTGAGCAGAGTCATCAGACAGGTGCATATGGAGTTAGCAGGTCACAGAGGTATGGAGGAGTCTTGAAGGTCAGGACGAGAATTTTGAACTCTCTTCTCTGGGGAATGGGGAGCCAGTGGAGCTGGGCAAGCAAGGGAGCGATAGGATCTTGGCACTTGGTGCGGGAGATGACATGAGCTGCAGTTCTGAATGATCTGCAGCTTGTGGAGGGAAGAGTTGGGAAGGCCGACACGCAGGGAATTAGCATATTCGAATGTAGATGTAATGAATGCGTGGATGAGGGTCTCAGTGGCGGCATGAGGGGAAAGGCACTGGCAGAGCCTCTTGCCTCTAACACTAACCAAAGCCAAGGTTTCCTTGTATTTAGCTGCAGAAAGTGGCTATAACCATGCTTGCTGATGGGAGGTTTCTTACCTTGATAGTCCGCCAGCGGTCTTGACCAGAGCGAGTCTGTTCCATATTCAGTCTCATCATACAAGAACTTGACCTCAGTTGCTCCAGCATCCTCTGCATTCTGGATCACCTCCTGCAGGCACAGAATCCAGCGTGGGTCAAGTTTGGCTTTCTTTTTGGAACAAAACCTCACCTCTTACAGTAGCATAACTAGGTAAACTATTGCGACATGCATCAGGCAGCACAGGGCAATCCTCCTGGGGGAGGAGAGGGGAGGAGGGAGGTAGACGGGGTTTCCTTGGAGCTGAGATGGCTCCAAGGTGACAACAGCAATTGAATGTCGGAATTCAGTGAATCCTCTGGGTAGTCTTAGTCACCCGAAGTCAGTTCCTGAGCTGGGCGGGTGCCCAATACGCCAAGGCCTTGCTGATAACAGACTAGCCAGCGTGGCAAGACTTGGAAGGATGGACCTACGGAGCACCGACATTATGTAAGGGCTCGCAATATAGTGAGACGACGGGGGTTGTGGTGGGGGCTGAAACAAAAATCATAATAGGCAGACGTCTGGGTTTAATGTCTCAGAGGCTGCATTATAAACAAAGCGAAAAAATATAGATCCACTTCTTTATCATAAAAGGTGTTTAAAATTATAAAAGGCTTTCAGGTTAACATAAATAGGCTGGGGAATCTGTAATCAGTGGACACAAATATAAGCTAGCAACTAGGGCATCTGAAAGAGAATTTAGGAGGAAACGACTTCACGCAGAAGATAGTGAGCTTGTGGAACTGGCTGCCTGAAGCGGTGGTTGAATCAGATATTATAGCTGCATTCAAGAAGAAGCTAGATCTTCACATGAGGGAGAGGGGAATCGAAAGGTACAAGAGGGCGCAAGGAAAGGGTGAACCCTCATGTGGTTGGGCTGGGTGGCCTGTTTCTGTGCTGCACATTCTTTGTAATCACATCCTTGGTCTCTCTGGCACAGATAAAACTGTTCGTTTCTATTTACTCTGAGGAGAACAGCGGTCTTAAACAGAGTGCGTCTATTCCACATTCAGTCTCATCATACAGGAATTGTATGTAGTTCACTCACTAAATATCAAGTATGTAGTTCACTCACTAAATATCAAGAAATTATATTCAGCATCACTGATTATACAATTAAGCAAAAAGCACTAATGAGTTAAAAAGAAGCAATGTTCAGATTGCTTCTTTTTTTATACGGAAACTTGAAACGTGAAACAGTAAAATTCAGCACATGTTTATTTCTGAGGTTTGAACATCTGAAGAACTGCGCAGTACATCACAAATCAATAATTCCTAAAATCACGCATTGACTCTCAGCTTGAATTTCAGCTCAGTACAGTGCTGCCCTGTGAATGCCAGTCACAAAAGCAGCTGACAAAATTATTTGGCCCACTGGGCATAACAATAGCAGAATGTGGGACGTTGCATTGAATCAAAGTCTGTTTGAGGGGCGAGTGGCAGCCTGGAGCTTTGACCACCCAGTGCGATGTTCTCAAAACAAACAGATTGAAACAAATGCACAAAGAGACAGCTGAACCAAGGAAAAAAATCATGTGAAGTGTGGGCAGTCAGAAATAGCACAGAAGATGACTTCAAATAGTCACACTGCACTGTAATAGAGAACATAGTGTTGGTGCTGTATTTATTATTTGACAGTCTACGGAACGGAAATGTAACATAACTCGGTCAGTTACATAACGAAGCCACTTCTGAGTGGTCTTCAGATCTGAGCATGGCATTAAACCAGCCATGGAGGCAAAAACAGGTAAACCAGGTGGAGTGAGCAAGGTGATAGAATATACAGTCCAGGGGCCAATGCAATGAACTTGTAAATAGGAAAGTGAGATAAGAACGAGAAAATGTCTTTCAGCAGAGACTTAGGAGAAAAAGTACATTCTGTGAAGCACTTTGAGACGTCACAAAGACATGATAAGGCACTATATCCAATGCAAGGATTATTATTATATTCGATATTTTCAACATTTCAGATTGTGCAGAACTTGGCAAGTTATTGAAGTCTTAATTTTGCAACCGTTTTGCAAAAAACCGTTTTGCAAACCGTTTGCAAAAAAAAAAAAAAAAAAAAAAAAAAAAAAATCGAAAAAAAAAAAAAAAAAAAAAAAAAAAAAAAAAAAAAAAAAAAAAAAACCGCGCCCCCCCCCCCCCCCCCAGGGCTCACATCAGAGCCCACTATGGTCCTGTTGGGTTCGATGCCCCAATCTGCGGGATAATGCCATCCACCTGACCGCTCGCTCCCGGTCCCCGCGTGCGCACTATGGCTGCCGCTTTGACCCGAGCCCCCTCACCCCCTCCCTCCTTCCCCCCTCCTCTCTCCCCCAAACCCTCCCCCCTCTGCATCTCTCCCGCTCTCTCCTCCTCTCTCTCCGTCCCTCTCGTCTTCTATCCCCACTTGACCCTCCCACAACCTCCCTCTGTTCCAGTCTGGGAATCCTCCGCCGGGCTCACCGCGGCACTCGGCGTTGGCTGTCCAGCAGCAGCCACACCGACTGCCCCATTCCCCACCACTCTCGCCAGCCACCCCGGACACAGACCCGGGGAGTCAACCTCTCCTCCCTCATCCCCATCTCCCCCACCCCTGCCTCACAACCTGGACCCCCCTCCCCTCCCACACACCCTTCTGTCAACCGCTCCCTCCACATCGGACTGCAAAATGTCCGCTCCCTCTGCAACAAGGCCCTGGTCATCAACGATCTCATCCTTGATGAGAACGTTGATATCATGGCCTTGACAGAAACGTGGCTCACCCCAGGCGACACCTTCCCCCTCACGGAGGCCACGCCACCCGGCTACACCTCCCACCACATCCCCCGCCCCAACCGCCGTGGCGGTGGTGTTGCCCTTATCTCAAGGACACCACTTGCCCTATCCCCCTACTCCTCTGGCTCTTTCCCCTCCTTCGAGCACCTCACCCTCTCCCACCCCTCATTCCTCTCCCTTAAAATCCTCCTCCTCTACCGGCCCCCTAAAACCTCTCCCACCTTCATCTCTGACATTTCAACACTCCTCACATCTCTTTGCCTCTCCTCTGATCGCCTCATCATCCTGGGCGACTTTAACCTACACTTCACCCCCTCCTGCTCCATCTCCACAGACTTCTCTTCCCTGCTCTCCTCACTCAACCTTTCCCTACACATAAACTCCCCCACTCACAGTCACGGCCACCCACTCGATTTGGTGATCACCCGGGGCCTCAGTGTCTCGGATGTCACTATTACCGACAAGGCCATCTCCGACCACTACTTCATCTCCTTCACCACCTCCACCCCCCTCCCCACCTCCACCAGACCCACCACCATCTTCTACCGCCCTTGGAAGAAGTTACCCCCACAATCCCTAACCGATGCCTTGGAGTCCTCTGAACTCCTCTCCCTCTGGCCTTCAACCCTCACCGACCCCTCTTCTCCTCTCTCCCTCCTCCACAATATCCTCTCCTCCACACTCGATACTCTTGCCCCCATCACTTCCCGCACTGTCTCCTACTCCCGCTCCTCCCCCTGGTACACCACCCACCTCCGCTCACTGAAATGCCAGGTGCGGGCTGCTGAGCGCACCTTTGTCAAATCCGGCTTAACGGTCCACCGACAAATCTGGCTGGACCTCCTCAAAATTTACCGCTCCACTCTAGCCTCGGCCAAGTCGTCCTTCTACTCCAGGATAATCCTGGAGGCGAAGAACAACCCCAGGCTACTGTTTTCCACCACATCCCGACTCCTCCGTCCCCCCCGCCACCCCGCGCAGGTCATCTCCTCCAACCTTCACTGCGAGGAGATGCTGGATTTCCTTGAATCCAAGATCAAGGGAATCCGCTCCGCGGTCACTTCCCCTCCAACTTCCACCCACCACCCACCCCTTCCCTCCCACACTCCGACTCCTACCCATCCTCCCCTACACACCTTCGTACCCGTTTCCCCACCCTCTGTCACTGAACTCATCCTATCCCTAAAACCAACCACCTGCTCCCTTGACCCCATCCCCACTCCACTCCTTATCTCCCAGCTCCATTTTCTTGCCCCACACATCACTGACATCATAAACCTGTCCCTCTCCTCTGGCTCTGTCCCCATTCCATTAAAAACTGCCATCATCACGCCCACCCTGAAAAAACCCTCCCTTGATGCGTCGCAGCTATCAAGCTACCGGCCCATCTCCAACCTCCCCTTTCTCTCCAAGGTCTTGGAAAGAGTTGTCGCCTCCCAACTGCGCTCTTTCCTCTCCACCCATTCTCTTTTTGAACCCCTTCAGTCAGGTTTCCGTGCTGCTCATAGCACAGAAACTGCCCTGGTCAAGGTCACCAATGATATCCTGACTATCTGTGACCAGGGCTCCCTCTGTCTCCTCGTCCTCCTCGACCTATCGGCAGCATTCGATACGGTCGACCACGCTATCCTACTCCACCGCTTGTCCTCCCACCTCAACCTTCAAGGCACTGTCCTTGAATGGTTTAGCTCTTACCTTTCCCACCGTCTTCACTTCGTCTCAACGAATGGCTTCTCCTCCACCCCCCGTACTGTCTCATGTGGTGTCCCTCAGGGCTCTGTCCTCGGTCCCCTCCTCTTCACCCTCTATATGCTCCCCCTCGGTGACATCATCCGCAAACATGGGGTTAACTTCCACATGTATGCGGATGACACCCAACTCTACCTTTCCTCCTCTACTCTCAACTCCACGACCACCGATGTCCTGACAGCCTGCCTGTCCGACATCGAGTCCTGGACGAGAGACAACTTTCTTCAGCTCAACGTGCGAAAAACCGAGGCCCTCCTGATTGGCTCACGTCAGCGCCTCCGCACCTCAGGCGCTGACACCATCAGCATCCAAGGCTGCACTCTCCACCTCTCAAAGCCAGTCAGGAACCTCGGCGTTTTGTTCGACCCTGAGCTGTCCTTTCTCCCTCACATCCGCACCACAACTGGCACCGCCTTCCATCACCTCCGGAATATCGCCAGATTACGGCACTACCTCACCCCTCACGCTGCTGAAACCCTGGTTCACGCCTTTGTCACCTCAAGGCTGGACTATGGGAACTCTCTCCTCGCCGGCCTTCCCGCCACCTCCCTCCACAAGCTGCAGGTCATTCAGAACTCTGCAGCTCGTGTACTGTCCCGCACCAGGCTTCGGGACCACATCACTCCCACCCTCGCTCGCCTCCACTGGCTCCCCATCCCCCAGAGGATTGATTTCAAGATCCTCATCCTCACCTACAAGGCCATTCACGGCCTTGCTCCCTCCTACCTCTCCAACCTACTATCCCCCTACCTACCTGCCCGTACCCTCCGTTCCTCTGGCTCCGGTCTGCTCCACGTCCCCCGCCCCAACCGCCCTACTATCGGTGGTCGGGCCTTCAGCCTCTCAGCCCCGAGGCTCTGGAACTCCATCCCCCAGTGCCTTCGCCTTGCTTCCTCCCTTTCCTCCTTCAAGGCCGGTCTCAAAACCTTTCTCTTTGACCGTGCCTTCAGCTCCCCTCTCGACTCTCTTCCTCCTCCTCGCTCCCTCCCTTCCCTCCCCTCACCCTGACCATTTCCCCCCTCCTCTCTCCCCTTCCCTCCCCTCACCCTGACCATTTCCCCCCTGCTCGGGTCATGACCCAACTGTGCAGCGCCTTGGGACGTCCTCCTGACGTGAAAGGCGCTCTATAAATGGAATCTTGTTGTTGTTGTTGTTGTTGTTTTCCTCCAAAAGAATTTATAGAAAGACGGCTTAAAAATTAAGAATTTGCTAACCTCTGCATAATTTGAAATACTAATAAAATAGAGTAAAACTAGACTCAGGTAGAACTTCTCTCCCCCTTTGGTCAGATCTCTGCTTGGAACCCACACCATACGAGCATTTTCTTCTCCCTCTGGCCTTTGCTTTAACTATTTTATTGAAGATTAGCTTATGAGGGGAATATAATGTCACAGTAGCGAAACACTTAGACCCCATTATCATTGATGGGACACAGGTTCAATGTCTCCAAACTGCTGAATTTCCTCTCCACCCTAGTCAATATCTGCTACAATCAGGTTCAGAACCACTGTAACCCGAGACACAATTTCAGCCGCTAGCAAAGTATAGAGGTGCAATTGTATCAAAACAACGTAGTGAAAGACTCAACATGGCACCTGATCATTGTAATGCCATTGGGCGGAATGCCCAAGAAAGATGCTTACCTTCAGAATCTGTCCTCCTTCGGGATACCGTCTCAGAATATCCTTAAGGAAATCTACGAGCGGTGGTGTAGTTTGTCCAAACCTGCCTGTTAAAATGGAAGGAAAAGCAGGATTCAAATTATGCAATGATTATTATTCATTATTATTCTGCAGCTGTGTTTTACCACAAGCTGTAAACACAAAACATTTCTGTGCTGGTGATGAAAGGGAACTTAACCACTTGAGCTAATGTACCTGGAAGGTTACATATCCTGTGGTTCACCACAATGTCACACATTCACAAGCAAGTTGTTTGCGTTCCTTTCTTTAGTGGTATTGTACTTGACTTCACAAATAAAGCTAGTTGAAGGGTAGATTAATTGCTAAGAGGTCTGCAATTCTCCCTTATTGAAGGAGTTGACAGATCCACGGCAGTACACTGATTGTTTACACCAGTCAATGGGGATCGAGCAGGAGAGTGGGATTAGAATCGGTAGCTCATATGAAGAAATATAGTAGCAGAAACATAACGGGCCAAATAGCTTGTTTTGTAGCTATAAGATTGATTCTTTCATGGGTCTTTGATTCTATTGCTTGATGTCACAATCATTGGCATCTTCCCACTGCACCCAAGAAAGACTTAGAAAGGTTTCCAGCCATGTTTTCAGGAAGAAATTACAGACCAAGAAACAGCCATTTGTGCCATCAAACCCATTTCTTCAAAAGCCCCCACCAAATCCACCCCATCACTGACACCACGCCACTCCTATCATTAAGAGAAACTGTTATAACAGAGATATTCCTTGAACCATTGACACAACTCAACTATAGATTCCTTCCCTCCAATGATGCCTTCCCAAGTAACAACAACAAGATTACATTTGTATAGCGCCTTTCATGTCGGGAGGACGTCCCAAGGTGCTGGACAGTATACAGCATTTCAGACCCAAGCTGGGGTTAGCGGTGACCGATGGCATGGTCGAAGAGGAGGATTTTGAGACGTGACTTGAAAAAGGCTAAGGAGGGGACGAGGCAGAGTGATTGGGGGATGGAATTCCAGAGGTTGGGGGCAGAGTGGCTGAAGGCTCTCCCGCCAATGGTGGGGCGAGTGGGTCGGGGGACATGGAGCAGGCCGGAGCCGGTTGAGCGGAGGGAGTGGGCAGGTTGGTAGGGAGTTCCAGGCAGGGCGAAACCTTGGGCAAGTTTCCTTACTCCACATGCCTAATAATAATCCCTCCAAAAAAAACCAAAAACAATAATTAAATTGGTCATTTTCAATCTACGACTGTTTGTGGGACATTGCTGTGCGCAATTGGCTGCCGCGTTCGCCCACAAATATACAGTCAATTCACTTTACAGTGTGTTCTGTGAAGCGCTTTGGGACGTCCTCCTGACGTGAAAAGCGCTATATCAAATGCAAGGATTATTATTATTATTATATTATTATTAGGAAGTCACAGAGCTAGGGTGCGGCGAGGTCATGGAGGGCTTTGTAGGTGAGGACCAGGATCTTGAACTGGATCCACTGAAGGACAGGGAGCCAATGGAGTCGGGCGAGAATGGGTTCACGGAGTTTGGTGCAGGAGAGGACACGGGCTGCAGAGTTCTGGATTATCTGCAGCCTGTGGAGGAAGGAGTTGGGAAGGTCGACAAGCAGGGCGTTTGCATAGTCGAGCCTGGAGGTGATGAAGGCATGAACAAGAGTTTCAGCGGCTTGAGGGGTGAGGTAGTGACGGAGTTGGGCGATGTTACGGAGGTGAGGGAAGGCAGAGCAGGTCGTGGCTTGAATGTGGGGAAGAAAAGACAGTTGAGGGTCGAACAAGATGCCTAGGTTCCTGCCTGGCCTGGTGAGATGTAGTGTGCAACCATGGAGGTTGATGCTGCCAGAGCCTGAAGTGCAGAGGCTCTGGCCTGAGCCAATCAGGAGGGCATCAGTTTTGTTCACATTCAACTGTAGGAAGTATGCCCTCATCCAGGACTTGATGTCCGACAGGCAGTCTGTCAGAACAGCAGTGGTCCTGGAGTTGAGGGTGGAGGCAGAAAAATAGAGTTGGGTGTCATCCGCATACATATGGAAGTTGACCCCATGTCTGTGGATGATGTCACCAAGGGGGAGCATGCAGATATTAAAGAGGAGAGGACCAAGGTCAGAGCCCTGGGGGACGCCAGAACTGACAGTGCGGGGGCTGGAGGAGAAACCATTAGAGGCAACAAAGTGGAGATGGTGAGAGAGATAGGAATCAAAGCAGGTAAGGGCAGGTCCGCAAAGATTAAGTAAAGAGGAGAGGTGGTGTATGAAGTAACTCTCCATAGAACAGTATTTGCATGTATTGGAGTTAAGAAACATGGCACCAATGTCTGCACGAACAAGTTAAATTTATTACCTCCTCCTCGTAAGCCTCTTCCCTGCAGTGTCAAATTAATCTCATGATTTCCGGATCGTACCAGGCTTGCAATTTGATTGGAGTTGTACAACTGTAGGAAAGAACAGATCACAGAAGGAACAGTACTAAGAGTATTAGTCAGATTATGTCAAAATCAATGTCAGGAGAACAGGCCTAATTCAGTTCCCTGGTGAACTAGCAACAATGAGCCTTCTATCAAATCCTCTTAATAAATGTTATTCAGTAAGAAGCTTAGTAGAAGGAGATAGGCTTCACATCAAAAAGCATGAACACTTAGCTTGTACCAAATATGTTTGTTTTCATGGGATTCATTTGATTTTTCCAAAAGAGAACCTAATCCAATATAAACTAAAATGAGAAGTTTGCTGCAGTGGAAAGTACTCACTTTGCGCAGAAACAGCAACACAATTAAACAACAACAATAACTTGGATTTATATAGTGCCCTCCGCGCCGGACGGCATTTCAGAGCGCTTCACAGTAATGGATCCTGGGGCCGAGCCAGGGGGAGGGGGATGGGGAGGAAGGTGACCAAAGGCACAGTCGAAAAGAAAGGTTTTCAGCCGAGACCTGAAAATAGGAAGAGACAGTATTGGACTGACATTTCATCCAATGGCCATGGGGAGGGGTGCAGCTAGAGACAAATTCTCTTTTCGATGAACATTTCAGTAAACAATGTTTAATAAATGAATTCAAAAAGATTTTTAAACATTCCCCAAAATGCAAACAGTATTCCCCACACTCACTTTCTGCCTCAAGAAAGAGTAGTTTACAAATTATAAGGGAAAAAGCTATCTCACTGTATATGCACTGTAATAGGAGTTTGTCATTCAGTCCATGAAACCTCATGGGGCATTTTAGATTGTGGTAGATCTTTTAATCCCATTTCTCTGTCTTTATCCATTTCTTAATACCTTATTCTGAAGTATTGTCTGCCTGTCACCTCAATCATTTCTCCTTTGCTCCAAATACATTGAAATTTGTTGTGCTCAAATCATAACTCGCTATTCCTTTCCCATACAACCAAAGCTAGGGATCACTTGTAGATATATACGTACAATTGTATGTACATATATAAATACAGGGTAAACTAGAATACAAGAAGATATATGCATCTTGTATTATAGTTTGCCCTGGCGGTGTACTGGCCTAGAGGCTGTCAGCTTTTATTTGGGTTTCTCAATTAAAAGAAAAAATTAATATTTTTTTGAGGAGGCTAAACAGTAAAAACCTTAAGTCTAACAAACCACTCAAGAACCTTTAATTTGTTGCCAGTAAACAGATCTATGTTGCTTACACCATTCATTGAATTCCCAAACTACCCCCTGAGCAAGTGCCCTCTGTGTGGACAGTGCATTTGAAACCTCTGCAGGTATGAGTTTTGTGCTTTAAAGCATTCACATAGAATGACTGCACAACCATCTGTGTATGTGTATGTAATTCAAGGTCAATCTTACCTCTTTCCCATTGTAGAGAAGCCGCTGTTCAGCAACAGGGAAATCTGTTTCTGTGTAGATCAACTCCTTGATATCATGGATTGCAGCGGAAGGAGCAACCTCATACACTCTGCTCCCAATGTATTCATGTAGAATGACCACCCTTGACAACCTTTAAGCAAGCAATGCGCACACTTAACACCACACAACAAAACTTTCCTCATACAACCGCCATTGCCTCACACCACAAGCTGCCAAAACCCTCATACATGCATTCATAACATCCAGACTCGATTATGCAAACTCCCCAACTCCTCCCTCCGTAGGCTGCAGATCATCCAGAACTCTGCAGCCCATGTCCTCTTCTACACCAGGCTCCACCACCATATCACCCCCATCCTCGCCTGACTCCACTGGCTTCCCATCACACAGAGGGTACAGTTCAAGATCCTGGTCCTCACTTTCAAAGCCCTCCATGGCCTTGCATCCTCTAACTCCGTGACCTCCTAACCTGCCCTACCAACCTGCCCGCTCCCTCCGTTCTGCGGACTCCGGCCTGCTTCACGTCCCCCGCCTCACCCTCGGCGGACAAGCCTTCAGCCACTCTCTAGAACTCCATCCCGCAGTCCCTCAATCTCGCCCGCTCCCTTGCCTTCTTCAAGACCTGTCTCAAAACCCTCGTCTTCGACCGTGCCTTCGGTTCTCCTCCTTCCCCCACTGCCCTCTACCCTCCCAGATCCCAACTTCTAGCTCGGGTTTGAAACACTGATTGTTCAGCATCTAGGGACGTCCTCCCGACGCGAAAGGTACTATATAAAAGTAATTTTGTTGTTGTTGTTGGGACCATATAGAGGGAAGAAAAGCTACTGTCACAGCAATCAGTCTTCAGATCTGACTGGGTCCCACATTACATATGAGTATCATCTTTATTCCAAAATCAGTTTTTTTAAAATCTTTTATACAGTGAGGCCTGACAGCTAGCTCAAAATTACAGCATAGGAAAAGGACATTGAACCCAGTGAATTCAAGCTGCTGATGTGCATATTTAAAATGAATTAGAAGTTGGTCTCATTTTCAGTCTGTCAGAAGGTTGTTTCTTCTGTTGTCCTGTCCTACAATTCCCCAGATTAATAACATTGAAAGTTCAATTACTAGCTGTGTGTGGGACATTGTCAAGCATAAATTGGCTGCTATATTTGCTTACCACTACACAGTCATTGCAGAGAGCATTAAAGCACTTTGAGACGTTTCAGCGTGATGAGGTTATATCAAATGCAAGGACCATCACTTTACAACAACAACTTGCATTTATATAGGGTTTATATACCCTCATGAAGGGTGGCATCCCAGAGCACTGTTACCATAAATAAATCAGTCTCTTTTTTCGACTCTCATTTTCACCTTTTCTTCCGTTTGTATTTTATTGAGCTTTATCCTTCCGCACTTTCTGCTCATGCACTGTTCCATCATGGGGTTGGTTCCAAAGTTTACTGGGTCCCACAGATTTTATTGAACCTGGTCATACAAGAATGCAGGTTGTATGACCAGATGTGAGGGCATTGTGGGCAGCACTGGGCAGCAATGCTCAACATAAATAAAGGCATTTTAATAAAAAGCCGTCATGCAAAAACAAATCAGAAGTTCCATGGTATAAATAGATGGTGCCCCGGGGGAAAATGAGAATAACTAACACTTGACTCATAAGTTATCATAACTCACTCAGTATTTCTGCTCATGTAAGTCATAAACCTGGGTAATTTCCAGAATGTTTATGACATTTCTGCAGTATCCTGCTACAGATCTTTTGCAGCATTGGTATCTGATAAAGGGGAGGGGGGTTGGGGGTGGGGGGCGAAGGAGAAACTGTGCGAGTGACAGCATCTATCCTAGGATTCCCAGCACAGACAGACTTTCACGTGGAACAGTAGTTAATGTAGCTTAGAACAACACAGCAAAACCATCAGTTTTCACGGACTAAAATCATTGATTTTGGAAATTCAATTGTTTCCTCGGTCCAAATGAAATATAGATTCCACCTTCAGCTGAATCCATTGCCAACGAAAACTGTTTAGCAATGCATTTATTTTAGATATTCTTTCAGGATAACAACAACTTAAATATGCCGTCTTTCATGAAGTTAAATGTGCCAAAGAAATTTAAAGGCGGACTGGGAGCGCAAGCTGGATAATAATAATAATCCTTGCAATAATCCTTGGATTGGTGAGAGGGGAAGGGGTAAGAGGGAAATGATTGAAAGAACAGTCAAAAATGTATCATTAATGAATCCTGTTATAAATGTCATTTTGTGGGACTTTTCCCACACATCAGCAGATGGTTGGTACAATCCTGATATCAACATAAATACAATCACTATACTTTACAGTAAAATGCTCTGAAGTGCTTTGAGACATGGACAATGTGATACAGTAATAATAATCATCCTTGCATTTGGTATAGCGCCTTGCTTTGACAAAATGTCTCAAAGCGCTTCACAGTTTTCTTCTATAAAGTATAGTCAATGTATATTTCGTAGCTGAACACGCCAGCCAATTCACCTACAAACAGTCATGAAGTGAATGACCAATTTTATCAGGGGGAATGTTGACCAGGACATACGAAGATGGGAACAGGAGTGGGCCGTTCAGCCCCTTATGCCTATTCCGACATTCTATTAGATCACGGATCATGATACTGGAAGAAAACTTCCTTCACTTTTTGAATAGTGCCATGAGATTTTTAATATCCACCTGAACAGACCGGCCTTGGGTTAATGACTCATCCAATTCAGCGCTCCCCCAGGACTGCATTGGAGTGTCAGCCTACATTATGTGAGTTCAAAAACCTGATATGGAGCTTGAACCCACAACTTGTTTTACAGAATATTGCTGTAAAGTGTATTGACACTGTACTTATATTGATATCAAGATATCAACGTCCACCATCCTCCTCAACAGGAGAAAATGCTATCAACTGAGTCAGGCCGATATCAGGCACCAGGAACTGCAGTAGTAACACATTGGTTCAAGTGACTATTGAAAGTATATCAACTTTGACATTTAAAAGGAAATTAGATAAACAGCTGAAGTTATCATGGGATGTGGAAAAGAGTAGGACATCAGATCAGAGTAGAGCACAGCCTTCCGGGAAGGAAGGCAGGACAGCATACATATGTGAATGTGCCGAAATTTCCAAAATTCTATAAAATATTCAGTGTGCCTGCTTTAAAAAGATAATCTGGAGAATCAGAACTGGGCTCTGGTGTGTAAATGTTAGAAACTGTTAGCACCAGTGCACACAGGAAGGAAATCCCAAGGAATTGTAAATCGTTTTGAGCTACAAAAGCCACCTCCAGAGAGTGACTGTTTCAGCCTTTCCTTCCTCAACAACAACATCCATTCATATAACACCCTTCACTTAGAGTAACATCTCAAAAACATTTCACACAGATGGTACCGGACACCAAATAAGAGTTGGAGGTAGGCACGGTCAAAGAACTGGCTCTTAGAAAGTGAGAAATCCTTATAAACTTTGCAGCCTCAGGAATGGGTTTAATTTTTGCTGTGTTTTACTGTTCCCTGCGCATTGTTTAAAATCTACATATTGATTGAAATGGATGAAACAGGTTCTAGAGATGCCTACAACATTGATTCTTTAACCTTTAGGCATTGCGTGATTTGCAGCTTTTCTGTCCTTTTTCAATCACTACACTTTACAGGACATTCTGTAGTGCGCTTTCAGCTAACCACCTGACATGAATCGCGCTAAATCAAAAGCGTGGTTTATTATCGTTTTATTATTATTATTTGCTCCAATGAATCTTAGAAAAAAAATCACTTTGGACTTCACTGGATTCTTGGAATGTACTCAGTTTGTTATTGCATCTGATATACACCCAGACTATTGATAGTGATCAACAAAAACTACAACAGCCCTCAAAGTAACACTTACACAAACCAAAATGTACAACCGAGCTGTGTAAGATCACTCTTAGGAAGTACATCAATACAAGAACAAAGAGGTAAAGGTAAATGAATTAATTAAGCTGCAGTGGGAGTATTGTGTCCAGTTTTTGACCACCCCTTTATAGGAAGAGAACTGGTGCAGCAGTTACAATGAGCAATATTATGAGGGGGATTGTTGGCTAGAACAAAAGGAGAAATTCTCTTCTTTTGTTAATTATATAAGTAAAGGTACATGTAATTATCTTTCTACACACTATTTATGCATAGTGCATAATATATTATAAAATATTATGGAGTCCTGTAGCTCAGTGGTTTAGAGCACGCACCTGGCAAGGGAGAGATCAGGATTCAATTCCCAGTAGGGCGAAACCTTGAGTAAGTTTCCTTACTCCACATGCCTGATAATAATCCCTCAAGAAAAAAAAAATAAATTGGTCACTTCAATCCGTGACTGTTTGTGGGACACTGCTGTACGCAATCGGCTGCCGCGTTTCGCCCACAAAATATGCAGTCAATTCACTTTACAGTATATTCTGTGAAGCGATTTGAGAAGTCTAGAAGACATGAAAAGCCCTGTATCAAATGCAAGGATTATTATTATTATTATTAATTAGCTGCTATGTTCACACACGCATGCCCGCACACACATTTACTACACTACATAGTAAAATGGTGTGAAACGCTTTGAAACATTTTGAAAACAAGATAAGCTTATATCGAATGCAAAGTATATTCTTTTTATCAATATTGTTAATTATTATTCCAGAATTTTCAAAAATAAAATCAGGCACCTGATGTTCTGAAACTTTTCCAATAGAATGAAACTGTAAGTGATAGAGGGTTTTAAAATTATGAAAGGATTTGATGAGGTGGATATCGATCAAGCTGTCCGTGAGTCCAAAACAAGTCCAAAATAAATATGGGGTCACTTGTGTAGCTGTTTGTGGGATATTGCTGTGCACACACCTGCTGCCACATTTTGCCCACAAAATACACAATCAATCCACTTGACTGAATATCCTGTAAAGTGCTTTAAGACGTCTCAAAGACGTGATGAAGCACTGTATCAAATGCAAGGATTATTAATATTATTTATACAGGATAACCAGCAGGAAATCAAAAAGGGAGTTCAGGAGGAATGTCGTCACACAAAGGATGGTAAGAATGTGGAACTCACTGCTGGAAGCTGTGGTTGAAGCAAAAGTATCAGCGTATTTCAGATGAAACGCTTTCACGTCACGACTTTGCAAAGTGCTTCCCAGGATTTTATGTGAAATGTAGTAACTGTACACTGTCTAGGTGAACAAGACAGCTAATTTGTGCACAGCAAAGTCCCACAAACAGCCGTGAAGTGAATGATTAATTTTGCATGAGGGATTATTGCCCAAAACAACTTTTTGAATAGTGCCACAGGATGTTTATGGAGTCCTGTAGCTCAGTGATTAGAGCACTCGCCTTGCAAGCGAGACACCTGGGTTCAATTCCAGGCAGGGCGAAACCTTGGGCAAGTTTCCTTACTCCACACGCCTAATAATAATCCCTCCAAAAACAAAAAAACAATAATAAATTGGTCATTTTCAATCCATGACTGTTTGTGGGACACTGCTGTGCCAATTGGCTGCCACGTTTCGCCCACAAATATACGGTTAATTCACTTTACAGTCTGTTCTGTGAAGTGCTTTGAGACGTCGAGAAAACGTGAAAAGCGCTATATCAAATGCAAGGATTATTATTATTATTATTATTATTATAACGTCCCGAGGCAGAAGGGACCTCGGTTTTGCATCTCATCCAATGGATGGCACCTTCAACAATGCACCGCCCCCACAACACTGCACTTGAGTGTCAGCCTAGACGATGCGAGCTCAAATGTCTCAATATGAACCCACAACTTTTGTACTCAGAGGTAAGAGTGCTATCAACTGACACCCTGTTATATCACTGGAAGCAAAAAAAAATGACAATTCCTCTATAATTGGTTCCCAAATGTCTGCCAGTCCCATTTTGGGGTCCTTGGGTCATGACTGATGTCAGTTCCTGTCAGCTTCCATGGACTTCCCTGTATTAATAATTGTTTACCTACAAGTATGTATGGTTGAAAATTCTGTTCTTTGGTGATGTCAGCCACTAAAGGGATTTCCCATTATAATCATTAAATGCAAAAGATGCTACGCAGGACAGTGAATAGAATTTTTACCCACCATTCACTACGATTGGTATCAACCCCTATGTGAAGGTCTACTGAGGTGTCAACATTATTGGCAGTAGATCAAACGCAAAAGATTATCGTTGTCACGATCCAGGGGAGGGAGCTTTACTCTGCACCTGGTTCCAGCTGCATCTCGGCAAAGGGATCATACAAAGTGATAATAATCCTGAATAATCCTTGAATTTAATATAGCGCCTCATCACGTTGTTGAGACGTCTCAAAGCGCTTCACAGAATATAATAATCCTAAATAGTAATCCTCGCATTTGATACAGCGCTTTTCACGTCTTCTAGACGTCTCAAAGCCCTTCACAGAATATACTGTAAAGTGTACAACCTATTCACAGAATATATTGACTGTATTTGCGGGTGAAACGCGCAGCCAAGTGCGCACAGCAGTGTCCCACAAACGGTCTTGGATTGAGTGACCACGTATTTTTTTGAGGCACGCTTGCGGGGCGAACGTGCTAACCACTTAGAGTGGAAAAAGCAGAGTTCTGCTCTGCAGTTCCTCAGCTCCGTGAACATAAACCACTAAAATCATCCGTAAGCATCGATTTCTTCTTGAAAAAAATAAGGAACGATTTGAGTAATACCAAGCTGCTAAATGGGAGTGACAAGCGCTCTCTACAGCCAATCCTGGTGCCACAATATCTGGGCGCTGTGCCAACTTCAACACTTGCAAAGAAATGAACAATATCCCAAATTATTTTTTTCAATGGGGGAGGGGGGGAGGGAGGGAAGAGGGTCAGCAAGAGGGTGGGGGAAGTGTTATAAATCTTTTACTCTCACGTCTCCACCGCAGACCTCTACCACATTTGTTTTTTTCTTAAAAAACAAAGAGGGATCAGAGTTTTGCTGGATTTGCAGCTCACGTTACCGTTACTTTCATTCAAACTCAGCCAACCAGAGATGGTCTCTTTGAGTTTGATCTTGATCTTGAGCTTTGCTCCTCCAATCCTGGGCTGAGGGAGGGAAGGAGGGAGGGAAGAGTGTTTGAAACCAGCCAGACACCAGGACTTTTTCAAACTCCTTTCTTTTTTTGTGGGGAAAAAGACATTTTGGTATAATTTACAGCCTCAGCTTCTGTAGAAACTTCTCAAAGCGCTTCACGACGACTTTTAAAACTTTTTTGTTGGCAAAATTAAAAGGCTTTTTTTGTTGTTGCTGTTGCAATGTATGTGAACCATACCTGGATCCAGGGGGGTGTTTTTCCATCTTATCCCTCCTGTAGATCGTTGCTGAGAGCCCGGAGGAGACACATCAGGGTGTGGGGTGGGGGGGTCGATGTGTTTTATGCAAAGCAACCAATTCCACCAAACAAACTGTGGAGAATAGGAACCTCAGCGATCCATCACCTCCGCTATGTCCCAGAGCAGCTGATCTACACCCAGAGCAGCTGATCTACACCCAGAGCAGCTGATCTACACCCAGAGCAGCTGGTCTACACCCAGAGCAGCTGATCTACACCCAGAGCAGCTGATCTCCACCCAGAGCAGCTGATCTCCACCCAGAGCAGCTGGTCTACACCCAGAGCAGCTGGTCTACACCCAAAGGAGCTGGTCTACACCCAGAGTAGCTGATCTCCACCCAGAGTAGCTGATCTCCACCCAGAGTAGCTGATCTACACCCAGAGCAGCTGATCTACACCCAGAGCAGCTGATCTACACCCAGAGTAGCTGATCTACACCCAGAGTAGCTGATCTACACCCAGAGCAGCTGATCTACACCCAGAGCAGCTGATCTACACCCAGAGCAGCTGATGTACACCCAGAGCAGCTGGTTTATTCAGTCAAACCCTTGCCGCGGTTGCCCATTCCCTCCTCTAATCTTCCCTGTTTTCCTATGTTTCCTATGAAATCAGAAGAGCTCTCCGCAGCTTTGCCACTCGCTCAGGTCCTGCAGACTCCCCTTAACGGTGCCCTCTCCTCTCCTCTCCCCCCGATCTTCAGCCCCAGCACAGGTCCACGATTCTGCAAGAGAGAGAGAGAGAGAGAGGGAAAAGAGGAAATCATTCTGAGTCAGGGAGTCAGTCACTTCCTGCTGCAGTCACCGCACATCTGAATGTGATGCTAATTATAAGTTACAGATCAGATTCCTGTCCCAGGGAAAGCCCTGCTTTGCCTCCTGGTGATTGTAGTTCCTCCCCCAGTGATCTGCAAGGCAAGCAAGTTTAATTTGCAAAATAAAAGACCCTGTTTTTTAAATATTCCTTCCATCCTTTCCACTGTAGAGTCCTGTAGCTCAGTGGTTAGAGCACTCGCTTTGCAAGTGAGAGACCTGAGTTCAATCCCAGGCACAGGGCGAAACCTTGGGCAAGTTTCCTTACTCCACACACCTAATAATAATCCCTCCAAAAACAATAATAAATTGGTCATTTTCAATCTACGACTGTTTGTGCGACATTGCTGTGCGCAATTGGCTGCCGCGTTCGCCCACAAAAAATATACAGTCAATTCACTTTACAGTGTGTTCTGTGAAGCGCTTTGGGACGTCCTCCTGACTTGAAAAGCGCTATATCAAATGCAAGGATTAGTATTATTTATTATTATTATTACTTGTTGCTCTGTTAAAGCTTATACTGTTTGAGCTGGTTAGACTCCAGCAGTTACCCCAACACACACTCTGAGGTCCCCAAGCCTTGGCTCTTGCCAACCTGCGCCTAATTCTTTCTGGAATTAGGTAAGCAGGATGGGCAAATGCTGCAGCCAATTTGCACACAGTCATGTCAAACAAACAACGAGGAGATGAATGACCAATTTTAACTGGAAGATTTGTTGGTCCAGGCAAACTCATTTCTCTTTTCGGATAGCGGCCATGGATTGTTTAAAGTCCACCTGACACGCAGACAAGACCTCAGTTTAACATCTCACCTGATGAGCGGCATCTCCAGCAATGCAGCGCTCCCCCAACGTGTCAGCCGAGATAGACTATCAGCTCAAAGTCCCCAATGAAGGCTTTCAATACACAACCTTCTGACCCACAAGTGCGATTAACTGGGCAAAGCTGGCACTTGAGAAGCCTTTTTCGCTCTGTGGGATGGTTTGTATTTTGCATTGGCAAATATTTCTTTGTCCAAAAATAAATTTCTCTGATCATGCTTATTATTACATATTATATTTTATGTAAAAACTTGTAAGTGTTTGGTGCAATTTTTGTTTCAATTGACTGAATGTTTATATGGTCTGTGGTGCAAACATATCCAAATAAGTCAAGTTCCTAGACATCTTGATCCAAGTATAAACCTGTTTGACATTGAGTTATTGCCAGGAACAGTACAATCGAGGAATGGATTGTCTTCTCTCATATTGACTGGATTTATAACCACCAAACAAATTAAAAATGTCCAGCATCCTCTTTCATCTGCTTCCCCCTTGCCAAAAACATTCAAAGGTGGACAAATTAAATGCAGCGAGATGAAACACCAAATCAGATCAGCACTGAAATAGTACACACTTGGTTCATGTACTCAAGGCATTGATTTAGCAAATTGGGTCAGTAAGGCTTTCTATCTGTTCAATGCACACTAACAATTTTCCAACTTCCATGTGGATCAATCCCTATTAATATTTTTCAGGTCAGAATCCTTGTCTACATTATGGTCGAACTAGGCTTCTTTCAGAGTCTGAAGTGCACAGGACTCAGAACTAGATCGGAGGAGCCTGTATTACAATGATCGATGACAAATTTCAGCCAGTGAAAAAATGACTTAGATTCATTGAATGGATTTGGGAATATTTATAGATGGATACAGTGCACTGATCTTTCTTTCAATTTCTCTGAAGAAGCATCAAGTATGGCCTTTAAGGTTTTCTACTTTACCCCAATTTTTCTCCTTCCCTTTACAATTACCTCAATAAGTTGTCAGCCATGGATAGAAAACTGCAGCTTCAGTTTATCTATAGCCTAAATTAGAGAAGCAAGAAAGAAATTGGCAGCCACAACAACTTTGTATAGTGCCCTTCACACGGGGTAGCATCCCAGAGCGCTTCACAGCGGTGGAGTCTGACAGTGAGCAGTATCTTTAAGGTTCTGCCCATCAGTAGTCAAAGCCTCACTCAGGCTTCATCATTTAATGCCTTTGCCCAAGCAATCTTGAAGCAAACACACATGCATATGTTTTATCAGGCAATAGCATTTTGGGAATCCAGCAGCAGAATGAAGTACTCCCAGGACAAATAGTGCCTCAATGTCAGACTTTATTTAAACAATTTTTCCAGATCAATGTTATCAATGGCCTTCATTACTTAAAAAGGTTCTATCGGGTTTTCATGAAGTCTCCTCTTTTTCAATCAGAAAAATCCCAACTTCCTTAAACTTTCCTCACAAGTGTGATTTCTATGACAGGGTGCCATAAAGATAGAACTGCATAGAATGAGGCGGCATGTCAACAGGCTATTCAACCAAATAGTCTGTACCAGAGTCTGCACTCCACACAAGTCTCCACCCATAGTATTCCCCTCTCTGATACCCCTCTATCCCTGCTCCCTCATGTATGTATCACTTTCCTCTTAAATCCTTTGCCCTACACAATAGTTTATCAACAGCAATAATACTCTTCCCTTGATATTGTAACCAACACTTCATATGGGGACAGGGGAACATGCCATTACCTTATTTATACAGCACAACATTACTTTAGATTCATTTGTATTTGATCCTTTTGCTAACACAGCTTAGTCCATGATTACCTTTTTAAATGTATTATGTCTCAATTCTGCATTTCTGTGCAATTTGCAAATACTTGTACTACTAATATCATCAATCAAGGACGGCTATAGAAAATAATGATGATGTAACTGCTGACTAGGCCAGCCCCCTCAGAGAATTGCACCACACTGTGCATTAGGTTTATCATCACTGCTGCCTGAGGTCGATAGTTAACGTATAAATAAGTTAGGCCTCCCTCTCTGCAGCTAAACTGCAGTCTGCAGTCTTCACAGCAGACAGTAAATGTCATGCACAGCCACAGTTCTGACTGCTAATGTATTTGTGGATTGAGTTTCTGCAGCATCCGCACTGCCATCAGCAACCTGCACCACCTGGAGAGGAGAACCTAGGTGTTAACTGAGGAATTACATTTTATTAATAATAATCCTTCCATTTGTTTCATGCCAGGAGGACTCTCAAACCGCTTCATATGTAAAGTGTACAACAACAGCTTGCATATATATAGCGCCCTTCACGAGGGGTAGCGTCCCAGAGTGTTTGACAGTGTCGGAGTCTGACCCCAAGCCAGGGGGAGAGGGAGGGGGAGGTGACCAGGAGCACAATAATGATAATAATAATCCTTGCATTTGATATAGCGCTTTTCACGTCATGAGGACGTCCCAAAGCACTTCACAGAACACACTGTAAAGTGAATTGACTGCATATTTTTTGTGGGCGAACGCAGCAGCCAATTGCGCACAGCAATGTCCCACAAACAGTCGTAGATTGAAAATGACCAATTTGTTATTGTTTTTTGGAGGGATTATTATTAGGCTCTGTGTGGAGTAAGGAAACTTGCCCAAGGTTTCGCCCTCTGCCTGGAATTGAACTCAGGTCTCTCGCTTGCAAAGCGAGTGCTCTAACCACTGAGCTACAGGACTCCACAATCAAAAATGAAGGTTTTTAAACGGGATTTGAAAGTGGGGAGGGAGGGGGTAAGCAGAGGGATCGAGGGAGAGGGTTCCAGAGTTTTGGGGCGCAGTGGCTGTCCTGTAGCTCAGTGGTTATTAGAGCACTCGCTTTGCAAGCGAGAGACCTGAGTTCAATTCCAGGCACAGGGCGAAACCTTGGGCAAGTTTCCTTACTCCACACGCCTAATAATAATCCCTCCAAAACCAAAAACAATAATAAAAATTGGTCATTTTCAATCTACGACTGTTTGTGGGACATTGCTGTGCGCAATTGGCTGCCGCGTTCGCCCACAAATATACAGTCAATTCACTTTACAGTGTGTTCTGTGAAGCGCTTTGGGACGTCCTCCCGACGTGAAAAGCGCTATATCAAATGCAAGGATTATTATTATTATTATTATTATTATAAGGCAGGGCCACCGATGGTGGAGCGGAGGGGACGAGGGGCAAACAGGAGGCCGGAGCCAGCCGAGCGGAGACAGCAGGTGGTGGAGTGGGGGGTAAGCAGGTCGGATAGGTAGGGAGCAGCAAGGGCATGAGGGTATTTGAAAATGATCCGTTCAGCAATTGGGGGCCAGTGGAACCTGGCTAGGACTGGTGTGATTGGGGTACTGAGTTTTGTGTAGGTGAGTATCCTGCCCAAAAGTGTGGTTACCACTGATTGCCTACCTACA